GAACAAAAGCTAATGGGAACTATTTGTTAGAGTGCCGCAGTAAATTGATCATGTCATGCCTAACAGTTTTCTCATCACATAACAGCTGTGCCAGATAAGGTATTGTGGAGTTTTTATACTTGGTAGTCCTGGCATATAGCTTCCTATAGTTACTTCTAGTTCTACCAGATGATATGCAAGGAGAGAGCTGTGTATAGAGAGGATGCTCAGGGTCTGACAATATAGTATTCGCTAGTTTCTTACATGACATTATATGTCTATCCACTATGGTGTTAACCAGTTGGTTTAACGATATCCCACTTGCCCTACTAACAGCTTTTAGTGCCCTACGCAGCGAAGCAAAGTCTTTCTTAAGTAGTCCTGGAAAGATTAATGGGGAGCAGTAAAGAGGGATGGGTAGAATACAGGAATTGACAAACTGAGAAAGTAAAGACTGCTTTATACCAGACTGCCTAAACTTCCTAAGGTAGAACGTTAAGCGAAACATCTTTCTAGTCACTAGCAAGATGTGAGAGGACCAGGAAAGATCGGAGGAAATACTCAGTCCAAGGTACTTGACATCTGATGTAGTTTCAACCTCTATGCCGTCTATGATAGTGGGACCATGTGAGCTAGCTAGTTGTTGAAGGTCACTTTTTCGTCTGAAAGTAAAATTTACTACCTGACATTTAGACGGATTCAGCTTAAGACCGTTTGAAGAGGACCACTGACTAATTTCCGAGAGAAAGTTATTTAATATGGAACAGTCTGACTGAGAGTTGACAGGCATGGAGACAGAGAGGTCATCAGCATACTTGACAAAAGTGGCTACATCAGAATGGGGCAAGTCATGTAAGAAAAAAGAAAACAGAAAAGGAGAAAGAACGGCACCTTGAGGAACACCAGCTAAAGTAAGTGAGGTAGAGGAGGACTTTCCATTGTAGACAGTGTACTGCTTCCTATCAGAAAAGTAGGAATACAACCACTTATTTATCCAGCTCTCACTCTGTGTTGCAGCAAGCTTACTTAACAAGAGAGACCTAGGTACAGAGTCAAATGCAGATGTGTAATCAAGGAAGGCACACCGAAACATATTTGGCTCCTCTATCTAAACTAGAGACTATATTATGATATAGAACTACAGCGGCATCTAGGGTACACCTACTATGTTTATAGGCAAACTGGTTGGGGTCGTTAAAAGGCTTTAAAGAGGGTTCAAGATTAAGTAAAATAAGTCTTTCCATAACTTTTAAAAAAGGTGAGGTAATAGCAATGGGTCTAAACTTGACAGTAGGTCCACTTGTTGATTTGGGCACTGGAACAACCTTGATATTTTTCCATGAGTCAGGAATAAAACTATTGGAAAAAGATTCATTGAAAATGTCAGTTAATGGGTAACATAAGATGTCAGCACACTTCTTAAGGATAACAGCAGGAACTCCATCAGGACCAAGGGACTGGGTAGGTTTGAGAGATTGAAGACACTTGAGGACATCATTCGTGTTAAAACATGAAAAGCAGTCATTATTTATACTATTAGATTTGGGAATCATAACATCTGCAGGGATACATATGAAGGATTTATTTAGCATATCAACATCGACAGAAGTATCATTCATTATTTGCTTACCACCTGTGATTTCCTTTAATAGCTTCCACATATTAGATGAGGATTTACATGAAAGAAACTTCTGGTTATAGAGAGCATTTAATCTTTGTAATTCGGCTTTAATCAAAGTGTTTATTCTCTTAACACCAGATTTATTTTTCATTTTGTATAACCTCTCTTTTTGACGGCGAAGCTTTTTGAGTTGAGATGACGCGAAACGGTCGAACTTTAAGAAGATTGTCTCTTTAGCATTGATTCTACGAAGGCCCACTTTGCCTTACTATAGTTCCTATATATTACATGTTGTGAAGTGGAGGTACATGCTGCGTTGCTACTCAGTGGGAGTGGCAGTGCACACATCACTGTTTTGTGGTCACTACCTGAAAACCTAGAACCCACTAAGATCGTACATGGCCACCTATTGTAGGGATAGTGATAGTTTGTTTCCAATGGAAAACGTCCAGTGTACCTGAGATCTTGTCATATTTAGCTGGGCCTGTTATTAAATCCAAGTTGCTGTCGTGTAAGTTGAAGTGTCCACATATGATTTTATGCTCAAACGCAATAGTGGTGACTTGCTCCGATGCATTTATAAATTGAGTCTCATGATCACTGAAGGTACCAGATGCTATGTAGAGACATCCTATTAGTAGTGTAGCAATTCTGAAGTGTTCGCTGACCCATGGGGTGTCGTGCATGTCACTGGGTTCCCCATTTTCTAGCTGCAATACAGTTAGTGTGTTTAGGAGGCACATGAGACAGCCTCCTCCCTTACCACTGTTCCTGTCAAATCGAAAGGGTGTGTAACCATCAATGCTTATCTCTTCATCTGGTATATTGGAGTGACACCAGGATTCAGTAATAATGATTATTGGGGGTTTATATACCAGCGTGTGTTCTGAGCATCGGGTAGTTTGTTAAGGATAGATCTAGAATTATTAGGGATTAAGTAAATTTGAGATTTGAAGTAGTATTTGAAGTATTTAAACTCGTCAACCAGGCTCAAATGTGGTTTGCCATCCACTGGTTCCGCATAGCATAACAACCCTGTGTTGCAACTTTTGTGACTACCAGGTTCACCTATATCTATCGACTTGCTTTCCATTTCTTTCAATAAATAATGAGTTTTATTATTGGATTCACTATATGATGAGGCAGTTCTAGGCTTGGGTAGGAGTTTATATTTGGCCTATGTTTGTACAAGCATTAGGTGTGATTGATAATTCCGTGTGCACTAGACTGTGTCTGTTTTCTTCCCAATAGGGAGCCGACATTAGCGGTACGAGTTCAGAAGAGTTAATATCCCCACCAGTTGTTTGGTTAGCGCTGACAAGGATGTGGTGGGTAGAAAATCATTGGTACCTTGTGATGCCCATGACTTACTAATCTGCCTATTGTGTGGAGACATTCCAAGTGCATTGCTGCACTGTGGTTCGATTCCCAGCAAACTTGTTTCGTATATTCTGTCGAAGTTTGTTAGTGTGTCATACCTTGAAGACCCAGAGTGGTTGGTGGCTGAGCTCTGAGTGTTGCCATTTGTACTATTTTGCGTGATAGCGTCACTACACCAGCTACCAGTGTGACTTGGCATAGTATGGGAGCAAGTTGTGTCGTTATTGTCCGTGGACCGTATAGGCTCGTTGTTGCGAGCATATATGTGCTATCAGTTATCAGGTTAACAGGTGACTGAGTTCGAGGCTTTTTTATACGATAAACTAATTAGTTACAATTATGAAACTGGAGAAACACTTGTGTGAGTCTCCCAGCAAAAATGGAAATATATAGCGATCAAGCTAAAATGTAGCGCAGACGTTGAACGTACCGGTCACAGTAAGCTTTTATAAGCCCCCTCTTCAAAGTGGGGAACAGGCAGTTAGTATCTGTTGTAAGTCTGACCTGTATTATAGCAAAGGTGTTAGAAAAGCTCATAAGGGATTGGCTCTTAGCTCATATGGAGAAACACAGCTTACCGGCGTTGGAACAGCATGGATTCCGACCAGGACGATCCTGACTGACAAACTTACTGTTAACTAAGGAAGATTGGATCGAAGCCGTAAATAAGAACCATCTATTGGGCGTTGTCTTTATAGACCTTAGTAAGGCATTCGATAAGGTACCCCATTTGGGTCTTCTTAGTAAACTCACACGTTTTTGAGTAGACCAGTGCCTATGTCAGTAGTTTAGCGCCTCCCTGATGGATGGAAGGCAGAAGGTAAGAGTCAATTATGTATTGTCAGGTTGGAAAAAAGTAATAAGTGGAGTGTTTCAGTGAACTGTACTTGGCCACCTGCAATCTAATAAACGTAAATGAATTCCATTATGGATAAGATCTATTTTGATAAATCACACAGTGTTGTACAGTAATATTAACTGATGACATTTCGAGCACAAACTATTGCTCATAATCATATGATATGTGATTTATCGAAATAAATCTTAACCATAACGCAGTTATGCTCTACCACAGTGCCCAAGTTTTACACTTACATCAACATAAATGAACTGCCAAAAATTCTCACCTCATCTTCCTTATTATTTGCCAACTATATTAAGATATGGAAAACAGTAAATGGTACCGATGATAGGCTGGCACTACATAACGATCTGGATAAATTAGCCGACCTCTAGGGCTTCGAAATTTATTTCAAGAAAAGCGCGGCAATGTACCTAGGTCAGAGAGCTTACACGCCGTACTCCCCTGGGAGACACAGAACTTTTAGATGCTAAGGGACAGGAGGACTCGAGAATTATTGTAATGGAGCCGCAGCTAACGCTTTTCGAATGCTATGGGCACTTTAAAAGGGCTATCAAATTATTAGACAAGTGTTCCGATTTCTCTATGCAACATATGTTAGGCCTCATCTAGAATACTGCATACAAGCAGTGTCTATGCTTCAAAAAGGAGGCAAATATGCTGGAAAGAGTACAGAGAGAAGTAACCAAATTATTCACTGGTATCTCACACCTTCCTTATGACAAGAGGATGGAGCATTTAAATCTCTTCCCATTATCATATTGAAGGAGGAGAGGCGACTTAATTTCGGTATACCGTACATTAAAAGGTGATTTAAGGATTAACGTTTCAAACCTTTTCTCTACCCCTAGGATAAATTTACGAGGTCATCACAAGGAGTTGCTCAAACCAAGTTTGAACAAAATACGTGTGGAATTTAGATTCACTCACAGAGTGGTCAACGACTGGAACTCCCTACCTGATTCATTAGTAACAGCTCCACCGATGAACGCTTTCAAATAGAAAGTATATCTCTGCAGAGATATATATCGCAAGGATTAACATAGGCAGCAAATGCCTTCTACCCTTATAATCAGAATCTAAAATATTTGCTTCACACAGACAAAAGTCTGACCTTGAGAAAGAGAACAGTTTCAAAGATCGCGTCATCATGTAGTTATGGAAAGTTCCAAGGACTTAGTGAGAGACTTGAGAACATATAGGCCGAAATACCCTTTACCTGAGGAATTGCGCGATATTAATCAGGAAGAAACATTTTGTGCATACTGTGGTGTTAGCTACCTTATTTTAAATGAGATAAAGTTTCTGGAAGAAAAATCTGAGAAGTTAAAGGAAGAGTTAGAAACTGTTAGGCGCAGCGCAATAAAACCTTGTGATATCTCAAGCAATAATTCCGATATTTTGACGCCATATGGTGAGAAATGGACGCTCGCTGAGTGAGTTTTGTTGTTTGAAATATTTTAATAATTCCGCATGAATGTTTGATTTTTACCATGTAAATGATCATGATAAAGTTACTGAACACCAAGAACTTTCAGAATGAATATTAGGGAAATATTCATTTAACCTACTGTTCCATTGGCGATAATAACACAAAAATAGGGCTGTTAAAACCTTAACTGAGGGTTTTCTGCGTTAAGTAATTACTAAAAAGGTTGTGAGCCGGCAGGATATTTCTCACCGGAAAGCACTGTGGTGTTTTAAAGCGTTACTTGAGTTAGTCTAACTCCTAAAAGCATATTTCCCACACGGACTCCGTACTTTAGGTGTCACTTTAGTAATAACCGTCGCTTTTCACTTGCACTGTTATTGCTAATACTTAATGCAGTACCCGTTCCATCATGCATTAGGACTTACAGTATCTTAGATTATCTCACGTGAATTATGAGGAACTTTAGATACTCGACGTATTTGTCAAGGAATGATTTTTCAGTACCGATGTAAGCAAGCACCTACTCAGTTCCTGCAGGAGCTCGCGAACACCACTAAGCATCAACTAGGTAACAGTTTGTTTTTTATTTCAAAAGCTTTATTAAGAAAACTGGAATTTCTAAATTCTAATTTAGGTTAGTAAATATTAGCCGACAGTTTAATGCCTGTGAAGTCTGCAGAGATAGCAGCTAAATAAATAATCATTTCATCAGTTAACCTTACATCTAATTACTTTGTAGAAACTGTGGGTCACAAAGCTGTGCTTATGCACAGTCCCCTGTAAGGTAATATTCATACCCAATCCAGATTTCCGGACAGAGTGTATCATCGCCTTCAGTGACGGCTTCGGATTCTTTTGCATGCTGCACCCCTCTTGCTGCCTATGCGAAATTAGAGTAATCTAGCAAAGTCACAACCCTCCCCCCTAAATTTGTCATCTCATAGAAATTCTCCCAGCATATCTAACTGGTGCTCATTGACAGTTGAAAAGTCAGCGCCTGTAATCGTTGATCGTGATGCTTGATACACATCGACACTAAGTGTTGGCATTCGAAATCTGGAAGCATTTTGACGTGTTCCTCTATAATACCTTCAGACTAATGATTAGATGCTTAATTACTTACTGATCAGTTTCCTGACATGTAAGAAAGCCTAGAGTGAAGTGTAAGGCTGGTTGGAAACCACTTTAATATTTTTTTCAACTAGGGGTTCATAAAAACTGAAAGTAATTGCACCACCGTGAATGCTTTTGTGACATATCACTAACAGTCTCCGGCTATTGGTTTTTGGATATATTGGAAACATTATGGTGATTAGGATGTGGAACGTTTGTATCGAGTTATTTTCATAAAAACCTAATCAATTTGCAAATCGTCTGTGTGTGAATATATTATTGAGCATTAGGTCCCAAATTCTTGGTGAAAATGTAGTTGTGCAATGGGGCTGAGGTACATGGATAGTAATCTAATGGTAGTAGCAAATCACAGTAAGTAGGAGAAAATCGTCAGTTTATCTTGTACCCACATCTGATGAATTTTTTGAGTAGCTGATCAACTTAGGTGGCTATAGAACTGTTCATCATTCTACATATTTTTAGCTTTCAATTGCACATATACCAATAATTCATCTTTCATCGAAAAGTGAGAATCCAAAAACGAAAGTAAATAGATATTTAGCGAAAATGGGATTCAAAATAAAAAGGATACATATATTTACCCTGAAAGCAAAGAAACAGACAGCCTCAGCATAAGTCACGCTAAGTCCCTAAGAATCTACCGACTTAAATGTCTATAGGGATCTCCATGGTGTTTCGAATCGCTCATGATATATTACTGGCTAAATTACTTCTTTTTATAATATACTCACACTCTTTGTGTTACGCGAAAAGTACTTAATCTGAGGTAATTCCCCTCAAATTGTTCTAATCACCGATGTGTAAGCATTTTGTTTATTCTAGCTTATTTGTGATGTCGCATTCTATCGAATTTTAGAAACTCTCGTTGTGTTCACCAAAGTTGTCCGTTACACTTGATTTCTTTAGGCTATCTGAAATACGTGACGGTGACGTAATCAGTAGCCTTTCCGGTGTGGGTCAAAAGTTTAACCAGAATTACAGTTTATATTGACACGAAATCAATGGAATTGATCTACAACTTACAAGGTTAAATGTGCGCAATATTGCACAATAAGAAGTTTGTGAGCTAGGATTGATGCGAATTCTGTATCTATTGTTCTAGCCTTCTAGGTTGTGAGCAAATATGGATAGATATATTCGATGATTAAAGGCTATCAATGAAAAATTTATGTCAAGCATTACTTAAAACCAACACTAATTATTTAAATCTCAAAGATTTTATCCTAACTGTATGATTCATCCTGTTTTTGTTCATTTCTTCTTTGTATCATTGTAGAGAGTCAAAATATGAGTGGATTTAATCTTGTCCCGAATTCTACACCCTTTTTGTATTTGTCTATGTACAGTCTTATTTGATTAAATAAGTGTTAAGTAATGTTTAACATAAAATCTCTCCTGAATTTTACTGTTTTATGTAATATGCCACAAGTAAAATTTTCATTTAATAGTATGGTAATTTTCATTCCCTATGAAGCATCAAACAATTGACACATGAAAAAGGAGAACTCATTCGACGGCTAGACGATATGAACGTAAAATTAGTTTGTTATGAAGCTAGTGAAAAACAGTTTGTTAAGGAAATTTCAAAGAGTCAGTAAGTTTCCTAACTGTTGTTTTATCATAATTACTGTTTTTTGTAAAACTACGGCCTTAGTGATTTCGTCTGATGCATGTATGAAGTAATTTACATATAATAAAACTTTCTCTATACAATAAAGTTTTGACCACCGCTAGAAGTAACTGGAGAAAACTGCTGAGACGACCGAATAATGAAATATTTCCTTAAACTGAGAATTAAGTATATGCGGTCATTGTCAGCTTGTAGGTGGTTATCCCCTGGGCTGGTTAAAAGTTATACTCATCAGACACTCCATGTGAGAGTATAATTCTGCTCATATTTTCACTGCCGCAAATTATATCCGTGAAGATTAAGACTTCATCTTTGCTTGAAGAATAAGGATATATGGGGAAAATGCTTTCAAGCTAATTTATTATCAAACTTGCTGAAAAGATAACTCCAAATGTTTTTACCTTTAAAACTACATTAGGAGAACATTCGGAACTGGTAACTAGATCAGTTTATGACAAAAATACTCGTCCTTATTCAGATGTTGTGAGGTAACCAGATCAGTTAGTAGAAGATTCTTTGTGGATAACCTAAGCTGATATCTACTAACTGTAAGTTATTATGTATTTTTGTAAAAGATAAGCTTCATCGTTTAATCGCCTCTGTGTGTATTTGTCAGTTCATCTGATTCTGTGAAACAAACTTCGATGGAAAAAAAATCATTTCTATATTTATAAGACAGTATAGTCCAGTGATGATTAAGTGAAGTTTAATACATGTTGTTTTGTTGAACATGTGATTGATTTTCTTCAGTGGACTAATTAGGACGGCAATTTGCTTCAATTTCTCCTATTTTTAATGTTTTAAGATAGCAAAACCCAGTGTAGAAACAAAAGCTTGAAGTTTTCATTAAAAAGAAGTATGTACTCGTTCACTTTTTTCATCTGCTTTCTTCTGAAAGTCCTAATTTTAAAAGATATTTTAAACATACTCTGAATCTCTTATTCTTTACAAACAATATTCCTGTTTCTAAGTGTATACAGTTTTTATGAGAATCATTTCTGAACAACATTCATCGTCTAATGTTGTCAAATTACATAGGATTAATTAACAAAGCTTCGTAATTTATTCCTTATTTCTCCTGACATGTGATCTCATATGTTTTGTTAGTAACTGATATATTGCATGGAGGATTTCATCATAAGCTGACATCAGTTAGAGAACCACTGGAAAACCTGGGAGTACTGGGCAGCTGTTTTGTCCTAGTTTGGGACTCTTCATCAGTATGCACACACCGGGGTTCGAACCCAGGACCTTCTGGCTACAAGACGAGCTCGTAGACCATTGAGCCACTGGGACCCGATCCAATGGTCCTTGAATTCTGACTTCTGCCAATTCACGACATAGCGCGACCATTTCGCAATGTCTTCTTAGATGAGTTACTGTCTCATCTTCAACCTGCTGTACCCTACTGGTCACGGCTTCCCACTATATATGTATATATGTATATATATATATATATATACTGAAAAATAAAGGTTAGTACTGTTACGTTTTTACAGAGTAACTTTATTCAATGTCTACCAATTATATTTTCGCAAAGTATTTCCAAAGCAAAAAGGAAATCTATTTATCAGAAATTATAGTCATAATCATTGCAAATGCAAGAATAAATTTAACCGCTTTGCCTAACACCCAGTGTACAATCGCTTACATTTTTGTTTAGTTAAATTTCACATCGACTCGTATATGAACATTATATTATTATTATTATTATTACTATTATTATTACCGTTATTATTCACGTAGGTCTTTACCAAAGAATATTTTAGGATCATTCAAATCTAATAATCTATAATTATAGAAGCTTTTCCTATTATCAAAATGTATGTTTAACTAACTGGTGTAGACATATAGGTGAATACATTGAAGAGGAAATTATAGACAGCGATAATTTTTCTCCACCTTCATTCATTTCTACAAAAAAGTTGCGTCATCGTGATACTTTATTATTTTGTTTTAAGCCACAGCTAAGCACCTTTAAGTAACTTTAGATTACATCGAGGGAAAGTAACTTACAACATGTCACTCATTTATGAAGACTGTCATTGCTAGTGTGAGCTATAAAAAATCTGTGTGAGCTGCCTGGTCATGAAGCTTAGGATACTGAGACACAGATGATATGGATTTTACTATTTATTAATTACGTCTGGGATTCTGAATACACTCACTGAAGTAATTAATTCGACTTCTATGTAACTGATCAAAGTGAATGCATTCATATATTATGAACTGTGTACGGATAAAGACTGCCTCTTTTTTAAGTAAGTACCTTGTACTTCATTGAGCCACAAAAATATCGGGAAACTAGGTGTTATCCATGACTAAATAACAGCTCTAAAGAAACAGAGATGAACGTGTTTAATATGTTCCATTACTTCAGTAAGTGATGACTTGGAAAGATTTAGTGTGAGTGCTTATCTTAAATCAGTTGTGTAGCTCTTAACTGAGTAATTGTTTTGAATGTTGTAACAGAATAAGAGGATATTTTGATTTGACACTAGTAACTAGTGTGATGCGTCTAGTCCTCTCTTTGGTGCAGACTGAATTCTATCAGTCAGGTTGTAATGTGGCCACCATTCTAGGTAGCTCGCCATCACGGTGTCCATTGTTTGTGATGATATTAGATGGTTGGAGGCAATCGGCAGGAAGCCTTGGACCTAGGTTTCTTGCTAGTTGGCACTCGTCAGCAAGGCGTATATGCAACTTTGAAGGAACTCATGTCCCTTCTGAGATTCGAACCCGCGTCACCTAGTGCTGCAATCAGAGACGTTACCACTGAGCTATTCGGGCTCAAGGTTGTAGAATAAGAGGGGTTAGGTGCAGTTAAGTTCTGCGAATCTAATGAGTGAATATTTATATTTTTTGCATACAGAGTTCGGGTTTGAAAATATTAACTGTCATAAATTCTTCAAACTAAAAAAAACCTATGTGCGTTAATCTTTCAAAGTCTATATTCTTCATACAAAGAGATTTGTACATCTATTCATTTATTCTAAAGAGTCTAATGTCATTCATTATTTGACATTAATGAGTAATAAGTCTAAGATTAAACATTTTGGTGAGGAATAACTCGATAATAGAATAATTAATTTAGTGTAGTGCATCAATACTTAATAAGGCGAAGTTAAAGTATCATAGCCAAAGCCAAGGTCTTTCAAAAGTTAACCTTCAGGGACCAATCAGATGTAGGAATACTATAAAAAGTCATTCAAAATCAAATAATACCTTCCTTTTTGAACTTGAACAAGGTGGATACAGTATTCCATTTATTCCCTAGGTACTTCTTCTGTAGATTTATACTGTTCGGTAATGTTATGACTTTTTAGATTAAGGTTTAGGGTCTAGAGTTAGGGTTAGGAGTTAAGATTATGGTTAGAGTTAGGAGTAGGTTAGGGAACAGTATCAAAAGTATCAATAAATCTCAAAGTACCATGACCTACGGTCACCTGGATGAATGCATCTATCGCGCGCGGTATGATTGCTTTCTAAACCATCTTTGTAGTGACTGGGAGACATTGTTACAACACATAAGTGACAACTATATTTTTATTTTTTATTTTTGATTATAGCTTGATTCCATACCGTATTTTTGGTACAAGTATAGAATTTTCAGCAAATGATATCGGTAGCCCAAATTTTGCAGGCCGAACATAGATATCAGGTGTGCGTCGGCAGGAGATCGAACCCCGGACCATGTTCATGGTCCACTGTGCTACCGACTCACATATCATATTTGCAATGTGTTTTAGTGGAATTTCCAACGATTATGTGAATTTTTTGCATCTGAATTCTGATTGGCCGTTCAAGGTTACCGCGGTTTTGGTTATGATAGTTTAACTTTGCCCTTAATAATGATGTTTCAAAAGCAATATATCGCAAGTCATCATACACGAGGTCATGGTCGTAACCTTCAATTTCTAATGATTTGTTTGGTTACAAATCAAAAATGGAAGATATTTAACTGTTAAAGTAGGCAGTTATTCCCTTTGAAAAAACTAATATTTACTTAAGTGTCTCTAACACTAAGTTTATAAATTGTAAACTACCATTCATGTACATTCAATGTAATCAGCACTGTATAAACAACTGTCACCAAGATGTAAGTCACGTATTTATAAATCCAGCCAAGTAGCATCTTTCATCACATTTATTTTTTACTCATAGCTTAAAACAGAATTCTGCTTGTTGGTTGTGTGATACATTGCTTGTACAACCAAAATTAAAAAGGCGCTTAGGCAACAAACAAACCAATCTTCATCTCTGATCACTTAAAATATCCTGCTTTTACCATTGTGACAATAAATGTTTCCAAGGTAATGTTTTTACTAGATTAAAAAAATCAGCGTTAAAGGAAATTTTCATGAAAATTTTTTACTTCAAAATTTTCAGAGCTGAAATTTCATTCATTCAAGAACTGTTAATCGGATCCCTTGATTATTTGAAACAAATACGAAATAGATTGAAGAGTAATTACATTGATAAATTCTCTGAGAACAGTCTATTTCATTCAGTATTCAATGGGTTCAGTGAATTGAGAAAGCACATAGCTGCACTAAATCGAACTTGTAAGTTATAATATACATTCGTATTTATTAAGCTAGAATCTTATGAAAAGACACACAACTCAGTGGTGCAATCATATTGTTAAATAATAATTAGAATAGGATATATTAGCGTAATTAATATTTTTAACAAATAATCTTGTCAATTCTTAATTACTAACTAGAACAGTGTTTTTTCATAAAGTCAGATCGAGAGATAAAAATGACGTCACATGAGCTGCATTTCTACATCCAAAATTTGTTCTGTCCATAGGTGATAGATTGTTATATGTTACATATGTGAATTTTCATTCATAAGTGTATAATACTAATTAAGCTCAAATTATACTTGGTTTGCGTCTCAGAACTCCGTACATCAGAGCGTAGCCAAGAGTAAAAATTATCTAAGATGCTTCAAACAAATTGTCATTGCTTTCTGCCTATAGTTTAGTGTGCTTTAAATTCAAATCAGAAGCATGACTAGGTAGTAAGTGTGACCGAGCTAAACAAATAACCAGATAGCACTTATTCATAGGGTACAGGTGAGAAGCAGATGCTTGTCGACAGCATTGTTTGGCGGTGGTACAGCATTCCGAAAAGACAGAATTTAGTATTCACTGGTTGTTGAACTCCAACCCAGTCAACATAAAGTCCTGAATTCAGTTTTGTGGTGAAGTCATGTGTAGGCGCTGTTGAAGAGTACCTAACTAGGAAGATATAGCTGTCCCGTACACACTGGTTTTCAATGATTCTCTAAATGATATTGGTTCATGACGAAATGTAACTTTAAATATAAGGCAGCAAAACTTAGTCCACTGTGATTGAAGTGGAAATGTGAATTTGCCAACAGCTGGGTCTTATAAATCTTTAAGCATTTAATGGAGAACATCATATTCTGGTTCCAATTTTTACCTCAAATTCAACCACCAAATCATTGCTTTAATAGCATCTCAGGAAATTTTAACTTCTCATAGTAGAATTTTTGTCCAAATGATGTAGCTTTTAGAATTTTTATAAAAATCTTTCAGATAATGCTTCAATCGAACAGTTAAATAATCAATGCGACCGACTACATAACAGGCTAGAGTCAATTATCCAAACCAAAAATGAAGAAGTTAAACAATATGCTGAAAAATTCGATGATCTAGAATTAAAGTTTAAAAAAGAACGTAATGATTGGTCAGAAAATCGCGGGCAATTGCTGGCCGATATTTTAGGTAGGTCAAATTTTTAATTTATTGATTTATAGATACCCGTATCAATGGTTTCGATGTTATTTAATGCAATAGTTTGTATTTGTATTAACCTATTCAAAAAAGCTTCATTCTTTATCAGTCTATTGATTACTATGCAACTTAATTATGTGATGAGTAATAAAACCACATAGATCGGTTGCCAGTCCTAAGTGGCTGTCATAGTCTTCTTCACCATAGCGTCTATTATGTATCTGGTTCTTCCCGACAGTTGGTTACCATCGAATCCAAGTCCTACAAAACTGGTTTCTTCGGTGTCAGTGTTTTTTATGTTTATCAGTAAATTTATGATGATATCCAATATCTAATAGGAGCTTTTCAACAATGTGAAGTTCTTCATCAGGTCTTCTTTTTGAACAACGCTTTTCACAATGGTTTAATATGTACGTGCAAAGCACATACCTTGGACGGAAAGAAAAAAAGGATTTTTGACCGCATATCTCATCATATTCCAAAACATTTGCAGTTGAAAGACGCAAAAGTCTTCAGCAGTGCAATTGGTCACTACTCGATAGATAGTAGTTATAAAATTTATTGTTTTAAGATCATTTAAGATAATTAAAGTTCAAGTTAGTTCCAGTTTACAACTTTTTGCTGAAGTTATTAACCGGTTAAAACCGAACCTGTGCATTCAGAAAGAAACTGTTGTTAGTCTCGCTCTATCATGGTGAATATATTTTATGTTACTTTATTACATTTGCTTTACTTTAAGTATGTTCGCTCTCTGACAACGTGAATTCACATCCGCAACTGTGTCTTCATCCATACTCGTGTCGTAACTATTTCTTGACCTGTGCTCAACTAAATTGCTTAGCCTTTCCTTGTAACATGTTCTATCAATTTTTCACTCCCGTTTAATTTGCAGCTTTCGTTTCGAATTCTAGAGTATTCTAGTAATTATTTCTAAATATACTGACATGCTTACTAGTGCTAGATGGTTGAAGTCAGTCGGCAGGAAGCCTTGGACCTAGGTGTTATGCTAGTTAACAATTATCATTAAGGCGTATCAGCAACTTTGAAGGAACTCAAATCCCTTCTGATGTCCGAAGCTTGCAATCTGGCCACCATACGCCTTACTGAAGAGTGCCAACTAGCGTGATATCTAGGTCCGAGGCTTCCTGCCGATTGCCTCCAACCATCTAATAGAAACAATTCAAAGTGCACTATGATGGCGAGCCACCTAGAATGGTGTCCACATTGCACCAAACTAAGGACTAAATACGCTACACTAGTTACTAGCTAGTGTCGAATCAAAGCTTACTTAATAACTTTTATCTTTTTTATCATGCTGTTCAGTTACCCGACAGTAATGGCCTTTATCTGCATGCTCAATGAGTAAAGTGTGTGTCGGTGGCACAGCGGTTAGTACGCTTGGCGACCATGCACATGGTCCGGGGTTCGATCCCCGGCCGACACACTCCTCTACCTCGCTAAACCAGTAGTAAAACTCGTAAAGAGCGAAGGTTGGCCGTGAGGCTAGCAACCCCATCCCGTAAAAATAAACACCACTGCTACCGAAACTTCAAGCCTCTAGCTTGAAGCCCCATGTTCCACTGGGAACCTAAAGGAATAAAATAAAAAATAAATAATAACAATGCGTAAAGTGCGTGAATATATTGTATACTGATATTAAAAAAATGTTTTTTAAAATGATCTTATATTGTGCTGTCCAGTTTGTTTTCCTTGTTTCGTCTAGATTCATTAAGGGAAACAGTTGCATAAATATTTATTGAATAACTTAATTATAGTGACATGAGGTCAAATAGTAGAGAGTATGTGGTTGTCTTCAAGGTTGTCCTTCATCATGAGTGTCAGTGAGAATAAGATGTTGTTTGGGCAGGTTTGTCTGAAGACCGACTGTTATTGATTAACACTGGTGGTAGCATTTAATAACTAGCCTAAATTTGTTTCATATCACTTAGTAATATCATCGCCTTGGTCATTATTCACTCCAGTCTTTTTCAATTATCTTAGTATTAAAAGCTAAGTTAACTGAAGAAGGAAAGCGAATAGATAATTTACACGATGAAAAGAAGAAGTCAACATTAGACTTTGAGTAAGTCAGTATTATTTTACCAGTGTGTGAAACATTTAGTGTTGTTGTTGTTGCTGCTTTCTCTGAGCTAGAGTTACCGCTGAAGATGTTATCCAGAAGATCAATGAAAGCTTCTTGGTGTAAAACAACCATTAATCAAAAATCATCATTGACGTAACCATCCATAAATCCAACTAGTTTGACTGTCTATAACACAAAGTCTCATTTAAACTTGGAGAATTTTGAGCATGAAGTTGTCATTTAGTGTGTTGATTCCTTGGTTTATAACAGTGGCTTGTTTAAATATATATCTTGAAATCATTGATTTCTCTGTAAACGGAAGAATCAAAAAATCGAGAAGACTGTTCGACTCCAGGATGACTGGCGGGGGCAGGTGAGACCTTCCAGCAAGCTAATCCGTTGATAAGTATTTCTCACACTAAAGTAAACGAAAGCCACGAAAACACGGAATATCCTCACCATGTTCGAGGTTAGTTGGCAAGGCTGCTCAGATTATACGATATATGAGACAATATTGTGTAGAAGTGTTAGTAATAAGTGAAAGCAGATGAAATGGAAAGTGGAATCTCCAGATTGTTAACTGCAGAGTCAGTTATCTACTCCAATCACCTATACGATTACAAAGAGTAAACTGAGCGTGTGGCTCATATCATACCAACAGAAAGTGAAAGACAGTGTTACCAAGGGCACTTTTATTGCAGTTGTCAAGGAATGTCCAGTGACACTAAGCAAAAAATACGTTTACGAATAATGGAGTTTCCTGAAAGTGATGTGGAAGAAAATGTGTATATACATCTTAGGCAAGAAAAAGAGGCAGAACTAGAAATGTCTCACTACACACACCTGGAATCTGACAGAACACAGAAGGATGATGCGACGAAAGGTGAACCACTGCAGAGATGAACAACCAAAAAAGAGGCTGACTACAACATGAAGAACACTGAACAAAGGAGTGAAGAAGACTTCTATGAAAAACAAGAGATGCTCTCATGATATACTAGAAAATGAAGCAGAACAGACTGCAGGTAGGCGGAACTTCAGGACACTATATCACATCACTTGGTCACTACCAGAAGAGGTCTTCACAGATGAAGACAATGCCTGATAGCGAAGCAAACAATGATCAAACAGACGGAAGAGAGAGGAAGCTAGGGCTAGGCGTTTCAATGGACTCAAACATGAATCAAACTTGACCTACAATTAGTCAGATAATAACACCAGTTGACACAGAACTACCAGCGAACACAGACCAACAATGAAACACCTCACCGACCATGCTCACACTACCACCACTACTACAACAACTACTACTACGAAAGGTGTTGAGGAAGAGGAAGGCAGCTACTGACTGGAAGAAACACTCACTTTTCAAACTCCCAGAGTAAGGTGAACAGGGTTTGTGTAAGAAGTGGTGTGGAATCATTCCCCTGTTTATCACACACAAACTAATAAACCACGTCGTTCTAGAAAGACTGGAAGGTAAGTTGAATGAAAGACTTCACCTAGCGTAGACTGTGTTCGGGAAAAAACGGTCATTCGCAGACCAAATCACGACACCACACATCATCATTGAATACAGTCTAGAGTGGCAGTCAACTCCATACCTCAATTTCATCGATTTCGAAAATTACTACAATAGCGACTTTCACGAAGTTATTCATAAACTACTTCAACACTACGTAGTTCAGTGCCTCGAAAGATTATAAAAGGCATTTAATATTTGTGTGATGGTGATGACATCTCACAACAAGTAATTCACAACACAAATGATACTGCAGCGTTAAGGGTGACGACAGGAATAGGCTGAAGTCACCTACTATCATCGGTGGTCTTCTTGATTGTGGATCATGCAACAGACTATGATGAGTGAGAAGATAGGTATACACTGAACCGACAAAAAGACCCCAGAAGTTGTGGATTTAGAGAGAACGGTAACAATAAGATTACACTCTGTGGTATACGTCTTTGAATGAACTGTGCAGTGAGCCACTTTATGTCTCAGAAATTTCGAAGTTCCTCATTGTAAAACAAATGAAGAATAATTCGAACGTTAAATTCACTTATTGAGAAATAAGTGTCATAAATAGGAAGATCAAATAAAAAACATAATAAGATCATAATTATATATATATATATGAACACATATACATTGAATTTACGTTAATCTATTGCACCAAATATAAATTATAATAAGATAAACGAATATTCAGTTGTGTTGAAATGAAAGTTAATGATTACCATTATTTTATTGCATCTTTATTTTTTATCTTGAGTTGACGGATTTATTAACTGCTTTTTTCACATTCAATTTCATTCTCTCTTTTCATAGACAAAGAATTAGTCAACTGAAAGAACAGAATGAGCTTCATTCACAGGAAACAAAGGCATTAAAAGAGCAGATTAAGTCGTAAGTTGATGTGTAAAATTTGTCCCTTTTGCATTAATAGTTGAGCAGGACGGCGTTTTGGAATCGTTGATAAGATAAAAAGGTGTCTATGAGAAAATTCTCAGTTTTTCATAAACCATATACGAAAACACCTTAGGTAGAGTGAGGGCACAAAACCATTATCATCGCTTTTATCAACTAATAGTGGAGTAGCTGTGTAAATCGACTACTTGAATATAGACAGTTTAACCTTATGTGCGAGGATGATATTGTCCCACTATGCATTGGAATACAAACTATTAACAACCCACTTAGATAGGGGTTAGTATTTGGAAGTATGACATGTGCATTGCGTCATTCAAGTATTGTCCTGCAAGTTTGCCTTTCCTCATTCTCAGAGGTGAACCGTTAGGAGTAATCTAAGACTTTGTGTATTTGGAGTAAATTATAGCGATTATCTAAGAGTGGTGTTATTCTTCAAAATTTTCGTATTTCTCGTATTATAAGATTAGTATTTCCGTTGTTATGTTGATCACATTATTAAGAAAAAGGATCCCTTTAGATGCATCAATTCTATCATAGAAGGTTTTCACAGTATAGCCATAATATTTTAAGAAGTAAACATTAGTCGGTGTTAATACATCTTTAGTAACAGTACTAGGTTGTTTTCCCTTGAACCTTTTCATGTGACGTCGTTTTTATTGAGGCTTAAAATGCATTTTGCTGACAAATATCATAAAATGCGAAATCTAGATTTACAGTTTTCCTATCAGTTAACTGAAAAACTCAGCGAAAATCAGTCAGACAGTATGATCTGATTGTCGGCCTCTCATTTTGACGACCACTTAATAAATTTGATCTTCAGAGGTCAGCCAGAAATCAACATTAGGCAATGTTACATTGACGGTTCTGCAAAGAACGATCAACTTATACTTTGGCAAACAACGACAAAGTCATCAAGACGCTGTTTCCTTTTTATTTTGCTACATTTATTAAGATGTGTAGTATTATTATTATGCACATCTTAATGGAGCAGGTTATGTGAAGAGGAGATGAAAGCATGTGGTAGACGATGGCAGAGAATCGAACGCAATGGAGACGTGAGGTTGAAGGCCTACGTTTCTGTAGGAACTAAAGGAAACAATAATGTAATAATAATAATAACCATTATTATTACCTCCTTGGATTCCGAATGGAACATAGGGCTTTAACAGCTCATCTCCATTTCATCCCGTTCTCTGCTGTCCTCATTAGCTGGATGTACGATTGCCCGTAGGCTCTTATCCTTTCCTCACAAGATCTCCATACTACCCTGGGATTCTCAACTCACCGTTTTTCATCCGGGTTCCACTCGACTGCCTATCTGGCGTACGATGTCACTCAACGGTTTCCGCATCGTGTGTCCGATCCACCTCCATTTTCTTCGGTCTACTTGTTGGGCATTAAGTTCTTGACTGGTTTTTCTTTGGAGTTTCTTGTGGTCACTTCTTTCAGGCCATCTGATCTTCACTGTCGAGCAAAGACAGCTGTTGATAAATGTCCGCAGTTAGTAGGAAACGCTTTTCGTGATGCGCCGAGTTTCTGACTCATATAGAAGAATTGACTAACTTAACATTGCTATTGAAAATTCGAATCTTGTTCTAAGTGCTGGATGCAGGAGATTTCCAAATTGATTTCAGAGTGATGAAGGCCTTTCTTGCCTTTTCAATTCTGGTTTTGACATCCTTATCTGTTCTGTTCACCTGCAGTTGGAACAATTTTGCCTAGATAAGTGAAGGAAGTGACCTTGATAGTGATTAGTGCTTATTTAATAATAATAATAATATGCTTTATTCCAAAACAGTACTTGTAATACAGAATGGAATTCTCAGCATTTTTACTACAGTATTGCATCCAGTTAGTACATTATCAATAAATGGAATTCTACATAGATTAAGGAAATCTCAGTTCATTATTACAACAACAGATTGGCATGTCGGTAGCAAAGGAAAAGCTGAAACAGTGTTTGAAGGTGTTAGAAAAGTAGGTGCTGTCATATTTACTGGCGTAAGCGAGAGAAAGAAACAAGGCAGCACATAACGGAAAGAAAGAAAAAAAGAGAGTGAAGGAAAAGAAAGAAAGAAAATGTTGTACCTATAAATGATATGAGTTGGAAAGACGAGATCCAGTTGTTCTACTGACTATTTAATGAATTATAGGTGTCACGCCTAATGCTTTCTTTATCGCACAGAACACGAGCTAAGTAGGGTATGGTTGAGTTTTTGTACTTGCTGGTGCGAGCATATAGTTTTCTATATAGGCTTCTGGTCCTGCCTGATGAGATGCAAGGGGAGAGTTGTGAGTGAAGAGGGTGATGTGAGTTAGATAAAATGGATTTGGCCCATTTTTCACATGAGTCCAAGTGCCTGTCGACCAGAATATTAACAAGCTGGTTAAGTGGCACGTTGCTTACCCTGCTGACAACCTTTAACATCCTGCGTAATATGTTATAGTCTTTCTTCAGTAGCCCTGGAGAAACTAAGGGGGAACAATAGAGAATAATAGGCAGAATGCGAGAGTTAACGAATTGTAGGAGTAAGGGTTGGGTTATACCAGAATGTCTTAACTTCTTAATGTAGAAGGATGGTTACCTTCATCACCTGCATCTTCTCTACGTTCACTTGAAGTCCTGTCCTTGATTCTTCTTTTGCCAACTTGTTTGCTTTCTCCTGTGGATCTTTGAGGTCAAGTGACATTAGAAATAACTCATCCGTATAATTCAGATCCTCTAGAGTCTTCTTATCGGTCCGGCATACTCCTGTCCTCTCCTTTCCCACAGTCTGTCGCGTGTGAATAATTTTGTACAATAAATATGATATTGGTTACGGGATTTCATCATGAGCTGACATTGGTTATTTTTTATTTGAGTTTTATTCGCGTATTATTTCTTTGACAGCTATTGAGGCATTTAAAATTTAGGATAACATTGTCAATCTATATTTATTAAGAGAAAATAATACGTTGGATTTTATTACACTTTGATTTCTTCAATTTTGTACATGTTATATACAACAAAGTTATTTATTTTAATACTATACAACTTTTTTTTTTTTACGTATGCGATTATTTCACTCATTTATTAAACTATAGTCTAAATGAAAAATTAAGTGAACATTCTGAAAAGTCTGATTTAATAGAGAAAAATTACAAAGAGAAAGAACAACATTTACAAAAAGAGATTGAAAGTATGTCGAATGAGTTAGCCAGTAGTAATAGTAAGTTGTATACCGTTTGATGTAAACTGAGTTCCATACAATTTCTATGCCCAGTTTTCTGCTTAACAGTAACAATAACAGTACAGACAGTAAAAGCCTTTTCTCGTGATCTGGAATTGTCTTTGTTTATTTATTTATTTATTATTTTATTCCTTTATCTTCCGAGTGGAACATATGGGGTTCAAGAGTCAGCTTTAAAGTTTCACTAGAAGTGGTTTTTGCTTAACCTTCCCTCCTTACTACTGACTGAGCTTTAGGAATGCACAGGCCAGGGATCGAACCTCGTGGCTGGCGAGCATTCTACTACTCCACCACCCACGTATGAGAGTGATTTCCACTTTTACCATACCTTTATATGCACTTCTGAAGTAGGTGCTATAAAAAATTCCCAGCTATCAGTTTACCACTACACGGCGTCATTGTTTCTTGTCTAATCAGCTCGGAGAACTGTGACAGTTATGTACGAAGTCACTTGTACAACCTATAACATTGTGAGACGAAGTACCATGAAGCCACCATACCCAGGAGAGATTATCCAAATTAATGGAAGTAGAATGAAGTTATTTTAATAGACTAAGTAAATATATCACTGAGATTGTACAGATTCACCGCTGTCTAAAATGAAACTATTGAAATGGTGTAGAACATTGAAATTATTTGAATCTTCAGAAATAATAGTATATTGTTATCGAAGGATTATCTGCAAAACTGTAATTAGATGATTACTTTGCTGAGATACACGCTATTCACACTGGACATGCAGACGTGTGCATTATAGAGAATTAGTAATATACTCAGAAGATAAAGAATCAATGCGCATACACTACTGTGAAGATCTATGACACTTAACTATTGATTTATTGGATGACTTATGTGGTGAATAGGTTATATAAACAGGTGGTCACTAGGATGAAATAGCATCATGTGTCAAATCCTTAGTCATGGTACTGAATGAAGTTTGGATTGTAGTCATTAATCTAGGGGAATCACCATCGCAGTAAAATTTTGAATCAATGTTAGGATGTAACTGTTAGGGAAGCCCTCGCTTGACTTAGGTTTCGAAGTTACTAAAATTCATAGGCAAGGCATGTCTGCAGCCTGGAAGGCACTGATGTCCTCTCTGAGACGTCGAACCAGTGTCACTCGAGGCTTCAGTCGCAGAAGTTACCTCTGAACTGTTCGACGGAGTAGCTTAAATAACACTACACAGAGAATAATAGCAATCAATAGCGTAAATTTTTTGTCGACTTCATTTCATATAAATATAAACGCCAGTACTTTTATGCTTAAATTTAATCGTTATTCGTCTACATGCTGTAGGTTTATAAACTTATTGATTAACCTATCTTTAAGCTTTAGAATTGTACATTTGAAGTGATTTCATCTAGCTAATGATTGTTAGCAGGGGAATCCAATATGTGCGCCTTATCATGTTTGAGACTAGACAGCCGAATGTACTTGTATACCCAGTGTGTGACAGTATTTCTACTGAAACTTAGATACCAAATTACTCAACATTATTAACCTGATAGTTTTTCTAAAACCATTTACATTGCCAGATATGTAAATATCCTTCTCATATATTATCTAAGGTCTGAGAACAAGAAATGAAAAAGTTCATAGAATTTAAAAATGTGAACAGCTTAATTTCAGTCTGTGTTTATTACAAGATATCATTTATAAGAGCTACACAATGTGAATATTTTGTCGTAGACTAAAATGAACGCCTCACTGATTCTAATGTCTTCACTAGGTGAAAAATTATTCTGTGACAGAGATTATCCTTAAATTAATCATCCCCCCCCCCCCCAAGAAAAAACCCATTAAATATACCAAGAGTTTAAATTAATGTCGTCTGATGCTCCGAAAACTTTCCTATTTTCATGCATATATTATGCTGTATACTTTGAATAGTGCCTCAAAAACTTTAAAATTGTATGCTAAACTTTATGTAGTCCTTTTATTCTTTATTTCTCTAGCCCACTTTCAATCCTTTTTTCTCTCTTTCCCTATCAACTGTTTCTAGATGATTATCTATTACCTAAATAACTAGTTGACAACCCCTTCGGTTGCGGAAGATTATTCACTATTTTTCACACACTGTTAATTCCTATACAGTTTGATTTATTTTCTTAGAGACTGGCAATAACTTCTGACTTTATACATAATATATTTATAATTTCATCATGAGCTGATGTAGTTTAGAAAACCATTGGAGTACTGGACATCTATCTCCTCCGTCCTAGCTTGGTACTCTTCAGCAGTATGCACCCACCGCAAGGGTTCGAACCCAGGGCCTTATGGTTACAAGGCGAGCCAGCTCGTAGACCATTAAGCCACTGAGACACGATTCAATGGCCCATGAATTCCAACTTCTGCCAAATCACGACATAGCGCGACCGCTAGCCAATGTCTTCGGTGGGTATTTTTCCTCACACCTTGTAACCAGAAGGCCCTGGGTTCGAACTCCTATGGTGAGTGCGTACTGCGGAAGAGTCGCAAAGTAGGACGAAACAGGTGTCCAGCACTCCCTGCCGGTTTTCCAATGGTTCTCTAACCTATGTCAGCTCGTTATGAAATTCTTTAAACAATATATATATATATATTATTGTTATACTGTGAAAATAAGTAGGATCTTATTTCTTATCTTATTTCTACACAGGACTAAATAATCAATTAAATAGTGAACTCGAAAGGAGGAGACAAGAAATATTCGAATTAAAGGCAATTAGGTAAGCTTTTAGTTGCACACTTTTTTATCTTCATGAATTTTCACGTTTGTTTTGTTGAAATCAAATGAGTGATCTTAGCCATAACCTAAACTACGATTTTTTTTGAATAATACCAAAAGTTCTGTCACTACATTTTTAGTCTTCTCATGATGAGGTACTGAAGAGTTCTTCAGTTTTACATTCTTCGTTAACCAAGTAGTTGTTGATCGTTTATTTAGACATGAACGTGGTGAATGGCTAGCATGTGAAATGTGTTTTAAACAGACTTGGAAACACGTTGATGGGTTTCAATCATTCAATTTAACATAGTTAATAACATTGGAAATTTTATTTAGTGAATTTACCCTGGATAATGTATTTGGAAAGACGGATAAATACTTAAAAATATAATGATGATGCATATGTGCATTATGCAAGGATCATTGTGGATTTTCAAGTTTTATAAACTTTTTATTAAACTTTATCCATGGGTGTATGTGAAGTTTAGAAAATTTATCTCCATTCAGGCTATTTTTATTTGTCACAAAACGGTGTACATTCAATCTGTAATCAAATCCCTAACAGCTTTTTTATCTTTTGTATTTTCCATAATTCTAATTGACATGCTTTACTTTAAGTTACTGACTTCAGATTTCTAATTTATTGAGTGGTAATTGACAATGAAAACGTGGATGTATATTCCAGTCTGATTTAAAAACTCATCGGCTTGATATATGCCTTCAACATAGATAATACACTTCTACAGTAATCTATAGTACAACCTTTTTCTCTATCTCACAGTTAACAGCTTTCGAATTGTGCAATTACCTGAGATAATATAAAAAGTGGTGACTTTTAATACTGACTGGTCACTAGGGTGTAACCATTGTCATATGTTTAGTCCTGTCAGTCACGTTTGCAATATATGATCACCAATCTAGGCGACTTGCCATCGCGCTGCACTTTTTGAAATCATGTTAGATGGTTGGATACTATCGGCAGGAAGCGCTGAACCTAGGTGTTGTGCACGTTGGCCCCTGGTCAATAATGCATATCTGCGATATTGAAAGAAATGTTATCCTCCCTGAAACTCCGCAGCTTGAGGCACTGGATAATGCGGTTTTGAGTCTTAGAGGGGACATCAGTTCCTTGAAGATTGCACATAAACTTTGTTAAGGAGAGTTCCAGTAACCACTGAACATAGATTCAGGACTTGCTGTCGATTGTCTGCAATCGTCTGAAGTTAAGTAGCATAATAATAATAATAATTTGCTTTATTCCAAAACAGTACTTGTGATACAGAATGGAATTCTCAGCATTTTTACTACAGTATTGCATTCAGTTAGTACATTATCAATAAATAGAATTCTACATAGATTAGGGAAACCACAGCTCATTATTATAACAACCCATTGGCATGTCAGTAGCAAAGGTAAGGCTGAACAGTGTTTGAAGGTGTCAGAAAAGTGGGAGCTGTCTTATTAACTGGCGTAAGCGAGAGAAAGAAACAAAGCAGCACATAACGGAAATAAAAGAAAAAAGAGAGAGAAAAGGAAAAGAAATAAAGAAAATGTTGTACCTATTGATGATGTGAGTTGGAAAGACGAAATCCAGTTGTTCTACTGACTATTTAATGAATTATACGTGTCACGCCTAATGCTTTCTTTATCACACAGAACACGAGCTAAGTAGGGTATGGTTGAGTTTTTGTACTTTCTGGTGCGAGCACATAGTTTTCTATATAGGCTTCTCGTTTTGCCTGATGAGATTCAAGGGGAGAGTTGTGAGTGAAGAGGGTGATGTGAGTTAGATAAAATGGATTTGGTCCATTTTTCACATGAGTCCATGTGCTTGTCAACCTGTGCCTGTCAGCATCCTAAAATAGCTACTTTAAAATGTTATAAATAGTAGTTTACTCATAGTATGAATATCGAAATGAAGTTATTGACTCAATGAAGGTTAGTGGAACTTATTGTGGAACTAAATTTAATTGAATATTTGGTGATATATTGATTATTATGACTTAGAATTTATTAATAAATGAATGCTTACAGCTACAGCCAAATGGAGTTTTTCAAATGGATAAATTAAATTTTGATTATTTTAACAGTATTTACTTCATTCACCCTCACTTTTAGACTGATGTATTTTTGTTTACAGAAGGCAAACAATTTTAATTCTTCATGATTTATTTCTAACGCATTTCTAGCAACTACCCATTCTTAATCGACTTATTTCACAGGTCCTTAGTCAAAGTTTTTTCTTATTTCATGAATGTATAAGGCAATCAAGATGCTAAAAGCTGGAAAAGCAGCAGGACCAGATGGAATCCCAGCAGAAGCATTGAAAATGGACCAAGAGACAACAGCGGACATGATGACGCCACTACTGGAGAAGGTGTGGAAAGAAGGCAAAGTACCCGAGGATTGGAAGAAAGGATACTTATTCAAACTACCAAAGAAAGGAGACTTAAGTCAATGCAAGAACTGGCGCGGAATTGTGCTCCTGTCCATCCCAAGCAAAATACTAAGCCGCATCATCCTGGAAAGGATCAAACAAGCCCTGGATGAAAAACTTCGACCGGAACAAGCTGGATTCAGGAGAAACAAGTCATGTATTGATCAAATCGCCACACTACGGATCATCATTGAACAAAGTTTGGAATGGCAGTCACCTCTCTATCTCAACTTCATCGACTTTGAAAAGGCCTTCGACAGCGTCGATCGAGAGGTGATTTGGCAACTACTTAGCTACTACGGGGTGCCACCGACAATTATACATCTCATCCAACAGCTGTACGACAATGCTGCATGCCAAGTAATCCACAACGGGAAACTTACGGAATCCTTCGAAGTGACGACAGGAGTAAGACAAGCTGGCTGCCTACTATCTCCAATGATTTTCCTGATTGCAGTAGACTGGATAATGTGACAAACAGCGGGCAATGAGGAAACAGGCATAAAATGGACTCACACAAAAAACTTGGAGGATCTTGACTTCGCCGATGATATATGTCTGATTTCCCACAAACTGGAAGATATGCAAGCGAAAAGCAACAAGTTGGCAGAAGAAGCATCCAGAGAAGATAGGACTTCAGGTGAACATAGAGAAAACAGACGTAGGTGATGAAGATTCCTGGGCAACACCACCAACAGCAACAACAACAACAGACAACAATCAGCATAAATGGAAAGAACCTGAAAGAAACAACCTCCTTTACCTACCTGGGAAGCATCGTTTCAACTACAGGCAGACGGAACTGACGAGGATATCAAAGCAAGAATCGGAAGAGCAAGACAAGCTTTCACTACTCTCAAGTCTGTGTGGAGGTCAACAGCACTCAGCATGAAAAATAAGATCCGGATTTTCAACTCCAATGTGAAGTCAGTGCTACTATACGGATCAGAGACTTGCACTGCGCGTCATAAAGAGCATCTCAAACAAACTACAGACCTTCATTAACAGCTGTCTTCGCTCAATACTCAAGATCAGATGGCCGGCCAGAAAAGATCAGCAACAGAGATCTCTGGCAATGAGCGAACCAACACAGCAGGAACCGATTGTGAAACAAATATGCAGAAGGAAATGGAAATGGATTGGCCATACTCTGAGGAAACCATCAAGTGACATCACTAGACAAGCCATTGCTCGAGTGGAACCCGAAAGGGAAGCGGCGAGTTGGTCGTCAGTGCAAGGGTGACTTGGAGGAGGTCATGTGAAGAGGAGATGAAAACGTGTGGGCAGACTTGGAGCCAGGTGAAGACTCTAGCAGAGAACCGAACGCAATGGAGACGCACGGCTGAAGCCCTATGTTCCTCTAGGAATTAAAGGAAACAATAATAATAATAAAGACAACTGACTCTAAGTTGATGTTAGTTTCTATTGATTCTGGTTCACATCTAAAAGGGAACTTAATTGTACTCAGAATTTAGCATCCAACAGGTCACCGGTTGTTAACAGGCAAGGAATGTTGATTGAATAACTCCACACACAATACCTATTAACCTACTAACGCAGACATAATAATAATTATGATAAAGTTCTTGTGACAAATGAGATTTTATGCACTAGCTAAAGTCTGATGAGACTTCAAGTGTCTGTAAAAGATATAATGAAATCCTTTATGTTACTTGTTTGGTGGAGGTCAGAAGTGGAATCCAAGATACGCGCTTTGCTTTGTTTAGGTCTCATTTACTGCTGGATACCAACAACCAGAAAACGTCATGTTTATCTCACACCACTGTCGAAGCAACTGTACTAGGAGACGAAATTTCAACAGAGACGAAGTATATCGGAAATTCAAATTGACTTCAACGGATCGAATACTTTTTCCCGTAATTGTTGTAACTTTACACCGAATTCAGTCTTTACTATTATAGAATTTTAAAAAAACTATTTGCAAACAGTCATACTGCATAGTGTAGCAATGATAATGCCACTCAATAGTCATACACGCACTTTAACTCACTCCACTTATTAGTGGGATTGTTGATTAGCCGAACTTCTGTAGTGAGACTTCAGTTTGAACATGTGGGAAACTAATTTGAAGTTACTTACTTACTCATATCAACAATGTCTCGAATCTTTATTCTTACAGCATAAATTTCAGTTAACCTACTGTCTTATTTCACTGTTAAAGTAGACAGGCCTGTGTGGTCTGTTTTTTAGTAGTAGTTGTAAAAATAAGTAATCTTTTCTATAACAGTTCTATTCTACTAATGCTATTTGTTTTAGAGATTCACAAGACGAATCGTGTAGACAATTACAACTGAAACTTCATGAAATAGAAAATGAGCTCAACGTTAAATTGCATTCTAAAGTAAAAACAATACAACCTGCATTTTTTGAGTATTATGCATTTTTTTAAATGTATATTTTTTTCCTTCACATTCCCAGTGGAACATAGGGCTTCAAGCTAGAGGCTTGAAGTTTCTGTAGCAGTGTTTATTTTACAGGATGGGTTTGCTAGCCTCATGCCCAACCTTTCCTCTTCACCAGCATTATTTCTGGCTTAGCGAGGTAAAGGAGTGCGTCGGCCGGGGATCGAACCCCAGAAAATTTGCATGGTCGGCGAGCGTTCTAACCGCTATGCCACCGACGCACAAAATGTATATAATTAGACTATTACACACATCCCGCGGAATCACTATAAAAAAAAGAAGAATTATACACAAGGAAATAATCACTCACACGTTATATTGTTTATTTAAGATTTTGTGAGCTGAAATCAATAGAATATTACTTCAAATGTAATCCTACTGACCGACAGGTATACACCTGGAGCCTTAATATCCTTTCAGTCATCAGCTGAATTGGATTAATATATAGTGAGTGATGAATAGAGGTGAAATAACAGCCGGAGTTGTAGCAGTATCGAAGCAAGCGACCTTTAGATTACTGATTAGCTATATGCACTTTATTGACTAAATTATGAAATCCAGGTACTATCCATTTTCTTGCTTCACCTTTTGATCATCAAGCATATGAATTTCACTCAATACGATCCAGACTCCCCTCAGACAGTCTCAGCTTGACAGAAACTCTAGGTGATTGTAGTGGAATGGAAATGTGGTTTGCAGGTGGGTTTCACAGCTCAGTCATTTAAGCATTGGACTAATAGTCTAGGCGTCACTGATTTAACTGTAGATGATGTTTAGTTTTTCACTTCATTTACAGTAGTCACCTGCTATATCAGACATTTTCTGGCAAACGATTAAATAGTACTACTCTAGGTAGAGCTTTTATTCAAAGACTTTTTATAGTACATAAGTAAATTTATTATGAACCAACAGTACAAACAACTGAAATGAGATAAACGAAAAGATTTACGCTTCTTAGACACTAAGAACATGTGAGAATCAACAGAATGAACAGGGAAACAAGAGGAATAAACGTTCACCTGATAGAGACTCCTTTCACTTAGTGGTACAGTCACAATAACCTATTTTTGTACCTATATTTATAGTCAACCTGTCAAATATAGTAAAGAAAAAGGTATACAATTTGCTTGGTCCAGTATATTATACCAGTTTATCATCTATCTACTTTTTTCATTCGTTTTTATAACACACTGAAGTCAACACTTGAAGAAGAATTCAAAAAAGTGCTTGAAGAAAAGGAATCAGAAATGGAACAATATAAAAACCAGTTAATTCAAAAAGTTGAACAACTTACAATACAAGTTAAACAAAAGGGTAACTTATTACCATAATCATATTTATAAATTAGTCAGCTGGTTTTGACTTATTGTTGGCAATCAATTATTAGTGGATAAAATCATTCCAGCTGCACTTCCTTATCTGTCTGTTTAATCAAGTTTTGTTAGTGAAAGAAGAACACTTTTGAGACTGAGAGTGTATGAAGAACTCCACATCTTCCGAGATCCTTTTTTTACGCCTGTCTTCTCACTCATCATAGTCTGTTGCATAATCCAGTCCACCACAATCAAGAAGATCGTCGATGATAGTAGGTGGCTTCAGCCTATTCCTGTCGTCACCCTTAAAGCTGCAGTGACCTTTCCGTTGTGAATTACTTGTTGTGAAATGTCATCACCATCACACAACTATTAAATGCATTTTAAAATCCTTTGAGTCACTGAACTACACAGTGTTGATATAGTTTACGGATAACTTCGTGAAAGACGCTACCGTAGTGATTTCCGAAAAAATGAAATTGAGGTATGGAGTTGACTGCCACTCTAGACTATATTCAGTGATGATGTGTGGTGTTGTGATTCGGTCTGCGAATGACTGTTTTCTTCCTGGACATAGCCTACTCCAGGTGAAGTCTTTCATCCAATTCACCTTCCAGTCTTTCTAGAACGACGTGGTTTATTAGTTTGCATGTGATAAACAGGGGAATGATTCCACACCACTTCTTACACAAACCCTGTTCACCTTACTCTGGGAGTTTGAAACGTCAGTGTTCCTTCCAGTCAGCAGCTGACTTCCTCTTCCTCAACACCTTTCGTAGTAGTAGTAGTGGTAGTGTGAGCATTGTCGGTGAGGTGTTTCATTGGTGGTCTGTGTTCTCTGGTAGTTCTGTGTCAACTGGTGTCATTTTTTGACTAATTGTAGGTGATGTTTGATTCATGTTTGAGTCAATTGAACCGCCTAGCCCTAGCTTCCTCTCTCTTCCGTCTGTTTGATCATTGTGTTTCCTTCGCTATCATGCATTGTCTTCATCTGTGAAAACCTCTTCTGGGTAGTGACCAAGTGATCTGATATAGTGTCCTGAAGTTTCGCCTTCCTGCAGTCTGTTCTGCTTCATTTTCTAGTGAATCCTGAGAGCATCTCTTGTTTTTCATAGAAGTCTTCTTCACTCCTTTGTTCAGTGTTCTTCATGTTGTAGTCAGCCTCTTTTTTGGTTGTTCATCTCTGCAGTGGTTCACCTTTCGTCGCATCATCCTTCTGTGATCTGTCAGATTCCAGGTGTGTGTAGTGAGACATTTCTAGTTCTGCCTCTGTTTCTTTCCCAAGATGTATATTGAAGTTTCCTCCCACGTCTGCTTTAGAGATTTCCAGTGCTCTTACGCGCGTATATCACCATCGATGTTGATTTTTGCTTCGACCGTTTGCAAATGACTGCAGTAAAGGAGTCCTCTGGAGCACTTTCCTTCACTTTATGAATGTTGGACTTGAATTATAGCCGATCTCCAGCCATTTTGAAGGCTTTTAGCTTGATTTTGGTAGTTCGCTTCTCTGGGTAGTGAAGTGAATCAATATCTGTTTCACTTCTCAATAGTGTGTCCTGTAAGCCTTGTCCTCACTTTTTTGTGACTGCGATTGTACAGCTTTTGAGGATGAAATAGCTGAAAAGATATCTTTGCTGAACTTATTCTTCTTTTCTGTGTAAATTACTGACTCTGCAGTTAATAATTTGGAGTTCACCTCTTTTTCATCTGCTCTCACATACTTCTTACACTTGTATAGTAAATCTTTTACTACAAAATTTGAGCCACCTTGATATTCAGCCACAAACATAATGAGGACATTCTCTTTTTTGATTACAGCTTGATTCCACACCGTATTTTTGGTACAATTATGGAATTTTCAGCATGTGATATCGGTCGCTCGAATTTTGCAGGCCGACCATTGATATCAAGTGTGTGTCGGCAGGGGATCGAACCCCTGAACATTTGCATGGTCGGCGAGAGTCCTAACCATTGTTTTCATCGACAGTAGTCTGGTTTCTTGGAGGCTTTCACCCACTGGCGTCATTCGAGGGATCTCCTCGATTTCAGCTAGGAATACTTTAATTTCTTTTGTGCCTTAAAGTTTCAGTGAGAATGTTGTCTACAAAGTAAGGCTGCTGACCTCTCGTCCAACCATTCCTTCTTTTACAGCCTTATTGTCAACCAAGAGAGGTTGTTACTTGTCACTACGAATGCATGAGTTGCCGTTGTCGTGCTGAAAGAATTACAATTGAAGTTTCCTATTATATACATAGGTCGAATGATTTTTAGTAATGATAAAACGGCATCCAACGTTATCCGACATTTTAACATATCCTTTTTCATGTCCTTTAAAAGCTTTTTGTCATACTATTGTTACGACTGATTTTGTCGTGATCTTTAGATTTTCTTTTATGGAAAAATACATTACAGAAAGAGAAAATATTGTTCTACAAGAAGAGCATCGTCGTATCATGCAAACAATGAAAGATGAAATCAATCAGTTAACTGATGCGGTAAATAATTCAAATATTGTTAAAACAAATCTTGAAAATCAAATTGAAAAGTATCAGAAGGAGGTAAATAATCAAATAGGAACTTGTTTTCTTTTTCAAATTAAAAAAGACGGGTTTGCAAATATCATTGTGTGCTTCATGTCTAATAATGTCTTAACGACTTGACCACGGATTGATATCAGTTAGAGAACCACTGGAAACCGGGGAGTACTGGACATCCAACTGTTTCATCAGCCTAGTTTATGAATCATCGGCAGTTCGCACCCACGCCGTGAGATTCGAACCCACGACCTTCCGGTTACAAGGCAAGCTGGTTCGTATACCATTCAGCCACTGGGACCCGATTCAGTGGCCAGTCCATGAATTCTAACTTCTACCAATTCGTAATTTAGCGCGACGACCAACCAATTTCATCGGTGAGACATCCATCCTCACACATTTGACTGGATGGACCTCATTGGTTACGACTTCTCACTAGAACTCCAGGAAACTCCATCCTGTAGCAAGTCACTAGCGAGCATCAGATAAATTTTCTATAGTTTGGTTTGTAAGGATTAGTTATGTTTTACGAGTTGATCACGGATTGATATCAGTTAGAGAACCATTGAAAACCAGGGAGTACTGGACAGCTGCTGTTTCATCCTAGTTTGGGAATCATCGGCAGTACGCAAACCCTTACAAACCAAACTATAGAAAATTAATAATATCTATTTGTAGTTTGTAGATCTGTGTAGTTGACCATCATTTAGTCGGTGTTACCATACCTATCAAGGCTTTACTGGCAAATGGATAAATTTAGATTCCACATAGCAGTCTTGCGCATTTTTACATACCTTTGTAAATATTGTTATCTAACTTTCATTTCTTTGTTCGCTTTTATATAATTACTTATTTCATTAGAAGTATCTACAACTGCATGGTAATATCTGTCTGTTACTAACACAGCATTTATTTTTCCAGATAAAACAACTTCATGTTACAGTGGGAAAAGAATGCTTAGAGAGAGATGAACTGAACTCTGCACTGACTGATGCAAGACAACAGCTGATGAGTTTGATCGACTCATCAAAACAGAATACATCAGATCAAAAAGAAGTGAATGAATATGAGACACAGAAAGATAATTCTCTACCGCCAATAGTTTCACCATCGAAAAAGTCAGAACAGTCTATCAAGCGTGCTGTTTCCAATAATTCAAATGTTTCTAGTTCTAATAGTATTTCTTCAAAACGTCCTAATCAAAATCACCGGTAAGATTTAGTTGCGATGAATTCATGGTAGCCAGTATTTAGCAAATTATATATAAAAATCCTCACACATTACCTAATATCTTATTTAATAATAATACCTTATTTTATTCACACATCGTCATCCTTAAACTACTCTGGAGTTATACCATTTGAGCCTGCAGCTTCGACTACATTTAGATTACAGATAGCTTTTGCAGATTCATTTACAAGTAGAAGACTGATGTTTGCATCCCACAAGCCTAGGTTTTGGGTAGTGGACAAATTTACTGTAGCTGTAGAACAGTTGGATTGCTCCTTATTGTACACTCCTGTCGTCTATCCTTTGAGGTAAGTAAAACGCCATCCTTTTCGGAAATAGTCCTACTTGTCGCTGGTTTTCGGGGTCCTTCGAAATCGGCCTTCTTGAATCTCTCAGTTCTCATGAAGCAGCAGAAATCCACTGAGAGCCACTGACCTTTTGTTTCAGGTTATCAGCAGCCCTTACCATTGTTTCTACAGCCAACTGGATATTATGCCAGACGTCCTGAGGATGATTCTTATTGTCAATGCATGCATTTCTCGCCTAATTAGAGACTTAGTGTACTTATAAAGTTGGGGACGTACTGGCTTCATAGCTGCCTGTTTTCCTCGTCCGTTCAGTTGTAGTTATATACGTGCACGAACTAGTGTGTGATTGAAGTCTACGCCTTCTACATACCCTCTCTGTCGATAGGATATACTTACGCTAATTATTTGGATCCATCCTTTACTTATCGACGGAGGTTGTCAGTTGAGACAATGTCTCTCCATATGGATTTAATTTGTCCTGGACAGAAATGTAGAAAACGACCACCGTTGTTGGTTCATCGGTGCGGGACTCCGTAACTGCCATCAATATACTTCTCTAATTAGAACCACTCTCCTACGTGAGTATTGAAAACACCTACTAGAATGATTACATATTAGTGTTTTTTCTTTTAGCAGCTTGCTTGGTGGCTTTTGATGCCGCTCTTCTTTTACTTCGTCTGGACTGCATTTGGTTGAGGTGTACATGGAGATTATGAAAAGGCATCGAAACGTATCATAGTCTTTCCTTCTAACTGACTCGTTCAGCTAAACAGCACGCATACGCCTATCCACTATAATCTAACCAAGTAACGATTTTTCTGCCAATGCTATTCCTAAACTAAGTTCAAGCTGATTTGCATAGGAAATTTTTGCAGACTCACTCTGTTGGCCAGCTGCGATTAAGTGGATAACCACGCATGGGTCACATATGCATGTCTCCGAAACACAACATCCATAACTCAAGGTATCACAGTTTTGGCTAGTCAGACCTCTTGTGCAACTCAGCAAAGGGTCTTGACGTTGAATGCTCCAATATGAAGTTGACAGAGTGGTTTCAAGTTAGTTTTAGTACTTTTCCAGCTCCCTTATCTAATGATGGTTGCAGAGTTGAGAGAAGGCAGAGAAACTGTCCGTGGAATAATATTAATAGTGACAAGAAGACAAGCAAATGAAAGCGAGTGACGGCTAGTAAAGCCTTCCATATCTGTGGAACTGTGTGGGTGGATATTACTTCCCTGTTGTTCAAACCATGGAAGTTTGCTTCTTCTGTTTGAAGTAGTTTTTGGAGTTTTATCCCAATGAAGATCTAACTGCCGTCTAGGTTGCCATGTACAAGTTTTTAGTCAACCTGAACTAACCCTCAGCTCCTGAGTGGAGAGGCCGCATTGCTGGTAGTTCGAGGCGCACATTTTACTACTATGACATCTTTATTCACTGGCAGTCTGACTTCTCCCTCAGGCTTCCAACATACTGTAAGCAACTTACAGTAGTAACTTCTTTTAGCCTAACCGCTATTCAAACTACCTTCTTGATACGGTAGGGTTTGCAGAGACATTCATTTCGGCCACTGTAGCTCACTGGATCACTGAAATATGCAAGCTTGACCATCATGTCAATGTAGCGTCTACCAGTATGAGGTTCCAGTTTTAGGAACATTGTTGGTACTTAGGTTGGTGTGGTATTTTTTTGCTTATGGAAATCAGACTTACAATGACCTCCCATCGAATAACCTTTTATATCTACCAGCAAAAAGGTTAGTCAGTTATCACATAAACTGGACTGCATGCTTTAATATATTTGCATTATGCATACTGAAAAATACAACAGGCAGCCTTGTATTCATTGTCATTGTTCCCTTGGGTTCCTAGTGGAACATAGGGCTTCAACTGCACGTCTCCACTTGCTTCTGTCTTGTGCTGTACTTTTCACTTGCATCCATGTTAGTCCATACTGTTTCATCTCCTCCTCACACGATCTCCTCCATGTCACCCTTGGACGTCCCACTCGCCGCTTCCCTTTCGGGTTCCACTCGAGCTATGGCCTGACGTGCGATGTCACTCAACGGCCTCCTCAGCGAGTGTCCAATCCATCTCCACTTCCTCCTGCATATTTGTTGGGCGATTGGTTCCTGTTTCGTTTGTTCCCATAGCTTCTTGTTTGTGATTCTTTCCGGCCATCTCAACTTCAGTAAAGAGCGAAGACAGTTGTTGATAAAGGTCTGCAACAGGCTGTTGGAAATATTCTTGGTGACCCGCCAAGTTTCTGATCCGTATAGAACTGACTGACTTGACGTTTGTATTGAAAATCCGAATTTTGTTGTTGATGCTGAGTTGAGTGACAGTGGAAGATTTCCAGATTGGTTTCAGGTTGATGAATGTGTTTCTCGCCTTCCCGATTCTCGATTTGACATCCTCGTCCGTTCCTCCTGTGGTTGAGACAATGCTCCCCAGATAAGTGAAAGAAGTAACCTCTTTCAAATCCCTCCCGTTGATGGTGATTGGCGCTGAATGTTGCTGCTGTTGTTGTTGTTGGTTGGTTATTTTCATAACCTCCGTCTTGTCTATGTTCACCTGGAGTCGTGTCTTTGCTGCTTCTTCGACCAGTTTGTCGGTTTTCGCTTGTAAGTCTTCGATTTTGTGTGACATCAAACATAAGTCATCCGCGAAATCCAGGTCTTCTAGGTTCTTCACGTCGGTCCAGGATATCCCTGTCTCCTCGTTTCCCACTGTCTGACGCATAATCCAGTCCACCACAATTAGGAATATCATTGGTGATAATAAGCACCCTTGTCTGACTCCTGTCTTTACTCCAAACGCCTCGCTGAGTTTTCCGTTGTGGATCACTTGACATGTGCCGTTGTCGTACAACTGTTGAATAAGGTTGATGAATATTTGGGGTACGCCGTAGTACTCGAGTAGTTTCCAAATTACTTCGCGGTCAACGCTGTCGAAGGCCTTCTCAAAGTCTATAAAGTTGAGGTAGAGATTTGATTGCCATTCCATGCTTTGTTCTGTGATGATGATGCGTAGAGTTGCAATTTGGTCAGAACATGATTTGCCTTTCCTGAATCCAGCTTGTTCTGGTTGGCGGAGTTCTGTATCCAGTGCGTCCTTGATTCTCTCCAGGATGATGCGACTCAGGCAGCCTTGTATACTGCATATAAATTAGGATTTGTAGAAGTTTGAACTTTCCACATCAATATATATATACGCTATTTTTTTTATTTTTACTCTTAAGGCATACGAATGATTCGATTGGGTTAGCTGCTACACGAAGACAAATCGCTGCCATTATTTCAGCAACAAAGTTTAGGTGATATTATCAAAGTCAAAATAAATTAAACAATCATTTAATCAAGCTATTCTTCAAAAAAACTGTTGTTATTTCCTTTTCATTGCTTATATTTGTGAAAGAAATTATTCGTAGCTGTGATCTGCCCATCTGAATTCTCTTCATTTTATCATTAATAATAATAATATGCTTTATTCCAAAACAGTACTTGTGATACAGAATGGAATTCTCAGCATTTTTACTACAGCATTGCATCCAGTTAGTACATTATCCATATATAAAATTCTACATAGATTAAGGAAATCTCAGTTCATTATTACAACAACATATTGGCATGTCGGTAGCAAAGCCAAAGTTGAACAGAGTGTTTGAAGGTGTTAGAAAAGTAGGTGCTATCATATTTACTGGCGTAAGCGAGAGAAAGAAACAAAGCAGCACATAACGGAAAAAAGACAGAGAAAGAGAAAAGGAAAAGAAAGAAAGAAAATGTTGTACCTATAAATGATATGAGTTGGAAAGACGAGATCCAGTTGTACTACTGACTATTTAATGAATTATAGGTGTCACGCCTAATGCTTTCTTTATCGCACAGAACACGAGCTAAGTAGGGTATGGTAGAGTTTTTGTACTTGCTAGTGCGAGCATATAGTTTTCTATATAGGCTTCTGGTTTTACCTGATGAGATGCAAGGGGAGAGTTGTGAGTGAAGAGGGTGATGTGAGTTAGATAAAATGGATTTGGCCCATTTTTCACATGAGTCCATGTGCCTGTCGACCAGAATATTAACAAGCTGGTTAAGTGGCACGTTGCTTACTCTGCTGACAACCTTTAACATCCTTCGTAATAAGGTATAGTCTTTCTTCAGTAGCCCGGGAAAAACTAAGGGGGAACAATAGAGAATAATAGGCAGGATGCAAGAGTTAACGAATCGTAAGAGTAAGGGTTGGGTTATTCCAGAAAGTCTTAACTTCTTGATGTAGAAGGTAAGAAGGAATACTTTCTTAGAAATCGCCAAGACATGAGACGACCAGGAAAGATCAGCAGATAGAATGACGCCAAGATATTTAATTTCCGACTTGGTCTCTATTTCAGTGCCATTTATGTTGCACACCTCGTGAGTGCTACCAGCTTGTTTAGGTTGGATTTATGCCTAAAGGTGAAATTGACTGTTTGGCATTTGGAGGGGTTTAGGGTAAGACCATTTTCCTTGGACCACTGGCTGATTTCTGACAGAAAGCCATTTAGTTTAGAGCAGTAACTTTGACATTTGACAAGCAAAGATACAGTCAGATCGTCAGCATATTTAACAATATTAGTGTCATTTGAAGATGGCAAGATATGTAGAAAGAAAGAAAAGAGAAGTGGGGAGAGTACAGCACCTTGGGGGACACCAGCTTCAGTGAGCACAGCAGTGGAGGATTTACCTTTGTATACGGTGTACTGCATTCTGTTAGAGAAGTAGGAATGCAACTAGTTAGTGACCCAGGACTCGGTTTGTGTCATAGAGAGCTTATTCAGCAAGAGACATCTAGGTACAGAGTCGAAAGCAGAAGTGAAGTCGAGAAACGTGCAGTGGACGTATTTGGCACCTTTATCTAATGATGAGACGATACTGTTGTGTAAGACAGCTGCAGTATCAAAAGTGCTCCTACCCTGTCTATAGCCAAATTGTTTGGGGTCTTCAAAGTTTTTAAGGGAGGGTTCAAGTTTGAGAAGTACTAGTCTTTCCATAAGCTTTAGAAACGGGGAAGTGATGGCAATGGGTCTGAACTTTACGTTCTTGCTATTTCCAGGTTTAGGGACAGGGACTATTTTAATGTCTTTCCATGCAACAGGTACGACATTTTTGGAGAAAGAAGCATTTAGGATGTTAGTTAGTGGAGAACATAAAGCATCTGCACATTGTTTTAGAACATATGCAGGTATACCATCAGGGCCAAGGCTACGTGAGGGCTTGAGCGTTTTAAGACATTTTAGAACATCGAGAGCATTAAAGTCATGAAAGTTATCAGCTACATGATTGGTAACATTAGAAGTAGTTATAGTAGAAGGACAGCGTATAAAAGACTGATTAAGAGCATTAACATCATAAGAGGGAAAAGCATTACATCGCTTACTATTGCCAGTAATTTCATTAAAAAGTTACCACATGCTGATAGGAGATTTGCATGATAAAAGTGTATCACTGTAGATAGCATTAAGATTTTTGATTTCAGATTTGATTTGAGCATTAATCTTTTTGAGTACTAACTTATCTTTGGATTGATATGATGTTTCTTTTTGCCTGCGAAGTTGTTTGAGACAAGGAGACGAGAAGCTGTCGAGGCGTTTGAATAGTGTTTGTTTGGGGCAGCATATATCAAGGCAGAACTTAAGATAATCCGTTATATTGGCAATTGTGTCATCTAATGTACTTTCATGGAATAAATCCCAGTTAGTATTTTTTAACATGCACCTTAGATTGAGTAAGTTGTCAGATGAGTAGCATCTTTGTTGTGCTTTCATATACAAGTGTGAGAAGACTTTAATATGTGTTTTGCTGTATATTTTTGGTAAAACACGAACAATACAGTGATCAGAGTTAAGTATCGGTGCACGTTTACGTGTTTCATATACTCCTTCGTCATTAGTAAAAACTAAATCGAGTGTTTTGTCAAGTCGAGTGGGAAATTTGACTATGTTTGTATGACCAAGTGCTTCAAGGAAGGAGCAATCTGAGGAGTTGAAATCACCAGTAATAACAGATAGAGAGTTGTCGAAGTTGGCAGCGGCAAACATGGTGAATTCGTCAGCAAAATTTGAAAGATCAGATAGTGAGCAACTGGGAGAAATGTACATGTTTGTAACAAAGATATGTTTATATTTGGGGAGATGTTTGGGACGACATTTGACGGTGATACAGTCTATGAAGTCATTTGAGAATGAGAAGCAAACATTATTAGAAATAGACCATTTGGAGTGAATAAAAGTTGCAACGCCGCCCTCATTTTTCTTATTACAACATTGTCGGTCTTGTCTAAGTAGGATGAAGTCCTTTAGTGAGATGAGGTTGTCATCATACATTTCATGTAACCACGTTTCTTGTAATGTGATTATGGCAGTATTATTGAAAGTGTCAGTGGACATCAAAGATTGCAGGTACATTATCATTACTTTTTGGTGTTTATCTCCTAATGAAGTATTCGTTCACCTTGCAATTAAACATTGCACTGCCTTAAAATTGTGTTGATACAGCCTTCCTCGTGGAATGACCGTTTGTCACCTGATCCCTACACTTTATGATGTGAAGTAGGCTACCACTGCTTGGGAAGTAAAGCCTACGCCTCTAACAGCTTACAGAGATGAAATATTTTCAACCACTAGATGCTACTACAGGAGCTAAATACAATCATTCTATTCAATCATTAGGCTCTGCATGTATTGCTGGTGGTTTAAACATTTTCTAAGATTATATCGACAAAATCTCAGTGATTCTTTCTGATCAGATGAAATTGGCCATACCCGATGGGAAAACGAACAAGATGCATCTAGTTGAAAATCGGTTAACAGGTGTTTTAAAAAACATAAAAAGTAAACCCATAATCTCCTAAGACATTTATGAATGCATCCAATCCGCTGGCTTCATAATACCAAATTTTTATGGGCTGCGGAAAATTCACAAAACAGGAATAACCCTCCATCCGATTCTCGATATGGAGGGTTCTCCTTATCATGGCATTGCTCAATGGCTGGGTGAAATACTCCAGTCAGTTAGAAGACAATTATTTAAGTTTTTCATTGATGATATATATCAATTTTTGAGGGTATTAAAGCTCTTAATGTCTCAGACAAAGTCTTGTTCTAATTAGGGGTGACTTCTTTGTTTACTAATGTACCACTTACTCAAACTGACTGCTTTATATGCGATTACATTGATGCACATAATTTAGACATAGGTTTGCCAACAACTTACCTCAAAGAATTCTTTTTGATCTGCACGTTGAATTTTTAGTTCACTTTCAGTAATGAAATTTTTAGACAGATAAATGGCATTGCGATGGAATCATCACTGGATCCCAAGCTGGCTCTTTTTACGTAGCAGAGCTTGTAAACTCTTAGCTTAATCAAACCATCGGTGGCTCTGATATTATCAGAAGATAGGTAGAAGACACTTCCGTCATCTGCGATAAGGGTGTAATACTTGATAATGTCTTCTTTGCAATCAGTAACTGCCATCCTTCTATGCAATTTACTGCTGAAAAGGATGCCGAACTAAACATTCCTTTTCTTGATTTGTGCCTCAGTGGACGTAATGATGTATCACTCAAGAGTTCTAGCCAACGGAAACGAACGTGGAGCGGACAGCAAACTAATTTTTATGGCTTTGTGCCTATTTTCGCTAAAACGAACTTAATTCACTTGCACTAGGCTAAGGATAAGAAACATTTATAGTTCCAGCTGAGTTGACTCAGAACATTCCTAGCTAAAAGCCACACCGGCAGAAAACGTTTACACCAAATGATCTATTGACAAAACATGAAAGGCAAGCAATCCAAGCTGGTCACTGCCTCAGTTTCAAAGAAAGCTGTATTCATGAATTTGAAATCCAAAGGTGACTAGGCTTTAAATATACTCATTTCGGATGAAACGAAGGATGAGTTCTACCAAAAGCTGTCTAGTTTGCTGCGAAAGGCTAAACGCTCAGACATAGTCGTTTTAGCTGGTGACTTTAATGCTCAAGTAGGGAAATTGTGTCAATCTGAGAAGGATGTCGGTGGCACCTATCGAGTTCCGTGCCAGCGAACCGACAACGGTGACCGTCTCCTACAGTTCTGTTCAGATAATCATTTGTTTTTGTAAGCACTAACTTCAAACACACGAAGAGACATTGTTTGACCTGGCGACCCCCATCATCAAACCAACGCTGAACACAAATAGACCACATAGCAATAAGCTATCGTTGGCGTGGGTTGGTAGGAGATTGTCGCTCCTCCTGGAACACGTGTGTAGATACCGATCACGCACTGGTCCGCGCTCGTGCGTGCT